ATTAAAAAAAAAAAATGACAAAGGATGAACTGAAGCTCTGCCATCACGTAATGTCGCATACTGCTGTTTCTGATGTCATTTAGAAAAAAAAAAAAAAAAAAAAGAATACATAATGGACAGTTCAGAGTATTGATTCAGAATCAGTTGCCGCTATTGTTCCATTTCCTTGTGTACAGTTTCATTTCCAACTAAAGGACCACAAGGTTTGCCTGATAGATGGAAATTATTCAAATGAATGCAGAATTACCTTTGTTCTCCACTACGTCAACCAGCACTCAGTAACCATACATATTCAGCCTTATTTTTGAAACAATATAAATTCATTCAGAAATCATCTTAAAATATTACCAAGAGGTAAAGAACATGCACTTGCAGTCTTACCATTGTCTGCCACTTTGGTCACAGCCATGATCATGACAGGCACACCAATTGCCGAGGACAGGACCCAGATGAGTATGTTGATCAACTTGGCCTTGACAGGCGTCCGAAACTCCAGCGCCCTGACTGGGTGGCACACGGCGATGTAGCGATCTACACTCATCATTGTGAGGGTGAAGATACTTGTGAACATGTTGTAGTAGTCGATGGCAATAATGAGCTTGCAGAGGACATCCCCAAATGGCCAGGTGTTCATGAGGTATTTGGCGCTCTGGAAGGGCAGCGTGCTGGTGGCCAAGGCATCGGCAAGAGCTAGATTGAAGATGTAGATATTTGTGGCAGTGTTCATCTTGGTGTATCTGGTTGTGGTCACAAAGTAGACAGAAGGTGTAGTAAAAGTTAAAAAGAAACTGATATTTTTTAACGATTTTTTTCCCAGTCAAAAACAGGTTATTTCAGATCATCTCACAGTTGCCTCCCTGGTCCAGTCTACTTGCAGCTGCTGTTGAACTGAAAATCATATAGTTATTTGGGTATAATTTATTAGCTTGTTGGAGAGAGAAATAGTGTATGTAGAGAATAGATGACATAAAGGCCCATGAATTGACATTTGAATAGAAAAAAATTGTCATTTGTGTTACTGGTGCATTTTTGTCCTTTCTTAATAATAGTAATAATAATAATAATAATAATAATAATAATAATAATAATAATAATAATAATAATAATGTATACTTTATTCATCCTCGTGGGGAAATTACTTTCTCTGCATTTGACCCATTCACTCAGTGAAGCAGTGGGCAGCCACTAAGCAGGCGCCCGGGGAGCAGTGTGTAGGGACGGTACCTTGCTCAGGGGTACCTCAGGGTAGCCGTTCAGTGGATTTGAACATCCAAACTTCCGATCATGGGGCGACCATTCTACCAACTGAGCTTCATCAGGGAAAATGGATATTTCAATTATTCTGTTACCTACTTTAGATCCATTTTACCTCTAGTCATTTTCATAAAGTTATTATAGAAATAATTAGATATAATTCCATGTTGGAATTGATTACAAACAAAGGCTTAGTTTAATTTATGACTGCACTGCCTTGCTAATTTCCAGATTACCAAATCCCAAAAATAAACTACAAGTTAATTGCTTTTCTCCTCAGATCCAAAGTTAAATTAAGAACTGAAACCAAGGATTCAAAGCCAACACTAGAACAGCAACTCATTCAAACTCCATAAACCCAAAACAGTCACTGCAACTCAAACACAACAAGTAACAAGTGTCTGGAATATTAATGACATTTAATTAGGGGTCAAAACCTCATCATTAACAATAATTAAAGGCTAGGAGCGTAATTAATAATAATAATAATAATTAATAAGTTATTATTTCAGATCTCATAGAAACTCAAAGGTTTTGGGATTAAAATCCAGGACGGTGACAGTTTTATTAACCCAAATTCACACTGGCGTGCTCATAGTACAAAAGAGATTCAAGTCACATGCTTCATTTGTAGCTCATTTCCAGCATATTTTCTTTGTAGTCTATAATTTTAACAAGAAAATTTTTTTGCTTTTTTCCCCCCATTTCTATCTTTAACTTTTTAACATTGGAGATATTGACATTTCATTTTATAGCAGAAAAAGATAACAATATTATTGTAAAGCCTAAACCATGCTCAAGCAGAACATCAGCTAGTGGAAGCCAACCTCATTTGTACCTGTCCATGATTCTATAGTGGAATCACGGTGGCTTTTTATTTGTGTTGATATGTAAAAAATGTAAAAATAAATGTATGAGAGGCTAAGCCATAAAAGGTGACAATGCATCTCAGAACATGTTAAAGTCATTTAAGTACTTTCTGCAGGGAGTAATTATTGTATTACTTTTTCAAAAGCTTATAGGTAATATGTAACAGATTACTTAATACAGATTACTTAATACACTGTTATTTCTGCATGAGGGGAACCCTCATGCAGAAATAATTGTGTAGGAAATGCAGATCAATAGTGCAAAATATACTGTAGATACATTTAATGTGGGTTTCACTATTTGCACTATTTACAAGCTCCTACAGCTTGTAAATAGACTGCAAACTGCCCTTGTGACCCATTGTAGAGCCAAAGCAGTAGATAGGTCATCATACTCTCAAATGTTTTAGTGAGTCTTTTTTCAAGCCACAACATGTAGTGAGAGCTCAATAAATTAGAGGGGTTTGTATCCAATAACTCAATCACAGTTGTTTATATTTTAAAATCTAATTCTATTGAATCAATAGATCTTTTTTCTATGTCCTTTTAGATACACTAACAACCATGGCTGAATCACTTTGATACAAAAAAAAAATCTACTTTAATGCCGGCATTTCATTTTTTTTTTCATTAACTGGATCTAGATTATTATGAGATAAATCATAATTAGGCCATGTCACATTTTAAAGTTGTAGAACAGTTGCAGCGTGTCATATTAGGTCAGGCCTTAAGAGTTAAATCATCTTTGGGAGTTTTTCCACTACAAGTATATTAATGAAAGAACTCTGTAGTCTGATAGAAAAGATTTCTTAAAGTAATAAATTAGTCTAAAGCGAATGTCGGCTTAATCAGGAATTTATAATTACAAATGCTGTCAAAACGTCTCAACAGCTGCTCTATTATTCACTCTCAGCATCAGCTTTAGTCTCTAAATGACATCAATGTTTCATTTCAATCTGTTTCTTTTTTTCAGCTGAAGGTAAACCTGACACAGACCATTAACAAATTAGTAATTATTTATAAGAGCAACGAGCTTTATCATAATTCATAAAAGGAAAACTACTGGTGTAATTAATTAGAGGCTGCATTTAATTCTTGTGTTCCATGTCAAAGAAGCTGCTAGTTTTTTTGTTCCATGCAAGTGGCTACTCTTATCTTATCTTTTACACCTCTTACTAATTATGGAGGGAAATTGCCATCAAATATAAAATGTTAATCATTCAGGAGGCTATGCAGAGACTGAATAGCTAGCAGTAGCACACAGAAGATTTTGCAGAAATTACCTACAGTAATTCAGTGCAGCAACACAGAAAAGTCAAACTTATGATAGAGTTAGTTTTGAATTTCAAAAGGACAATGGTGGAATGGAAAGGCCAGAAATATAATGCATCCAAATGACTTTGCACACATCAGAGACATATTGAACACTGTGGGAGTGCCTGAAAAAACAGTTAGCTGTGAGGTACCACCAGTTAGAGCTACAGCATTCTTCTTCCCTGAATGTCTAATCATTCTGCAAACTTTCTAAAATGATATAACTGCACCTTGTCATCTATTTTTTTTTTCCTGCTGCACCAATTTAATTCTCATTCCTGCTTCTATCATCCCTCTTTCTCTTTCTTTTTCTTTTTCTTTGGCCATGAAGAGTCAACCAAACACTTATCCGTAGCCAATTGCTCTCAGAAGAACTGAAGAAGCTTCTCGGATGAGAAGTGATACATCTTCAAGGAACCTTAAAGAAGTACAGACGCTTGTACTTGCAACTTGTAGGGGATTCTCAGTGATATAACACCCACTCTAATATGACATAATAGTGGAAATAGTGGAAATGACACGGTAGTAGGATTGTTCAAATTTGAGTATATAAATCAGCTTTTGGCTGTAGACTATTTCGCTGACATTTTAGTCCCTCAAACCATGTAATACAACAAGCCTCATTCACTCGTTCATACAAGCAGCTCATCTTTACTTAAGTGCTTTTTATCTAGCATTCGCACACACATTCCTACTCCGATGGATGCGGTCAGAGAACAACTTGGGGTTAGTTGACCCAAGGATATTTGGCATGCAGACTAGAGCAACCTGGGATTGAAACACCTGGTCAGAACAACCTTCTGATTAAGAGATGCCCTGCTGTAGCTCCTGAGGTATAGCCACTGCCAAGCTGTGTCAGATCCATGCTAGTATGCACTAGCTTGGCTGGATTGTAAGAAATCAAAAAACAAAATGTCACGAAGAAGGGAAAAGCGCCTGCATGGAAGGCTCTGTTTTAGTATTATTGCTTTGGTCTGGACTGCACAGTATGCATGCTCTCAGCAAGCAACAAGCAAAAGACACATTGACATTCAACATAAATTTTACACCAGACACTGACAGGTTGTTATGCAGAAGTATTTTTCTGATAGGCACTAATACAAGTGGTCCTGAGGTTCAGTCACAGTCAGCTTTCAGCATATAAAGGTGACAGGCGGAAAATCTTGTTCCTGTAGTTTAATCACATTTTTGTTTGTTTGCTTGTTTTGGGTTAAAACCACGGGCATCATGCTAAGTGGCTGTCACAGCTATCCAATCATTTCCTCTTCAACAGTAATGAAACACAGAATGAAAAAAGAAGTCTCAGAGCAGTGGGCTGCAGCGGGGGTCCCTGACCTTCACTTCTAAGCAATCGATGATGCACACTGAGAGTGTCTTAGTAATGCTATCCATCCTGTTTCCTGGGCTCTGAAGGTAATTTCTGCTTGTTCACCTTGTCAGCACACCAGTGATCCCAACAAGTGATCCCTTAGCTTACCTAGATCCCTCAATCAAATATTGACAGCTCAGAATTATATAAATCCCAACAAACCAGGAAGGATGTGGAAACACAACAGAGTCAGACTGTCATGGTCCTGGGTCGTTGACCCAGCGTTTTGTGTTTATTCTGATTTGTATTAGTTTAGGGGTTAACATGAAGTTTGGTGTATTGTCAGCCCTACCTGTGTCTGTCCTTGGTGCTCTGTTCATGTCCCCGTGTTGTGTTGTACATCAGTCTGTTTCCTGTTTTATTTTGAAGGCTCGTGTTCTGAATTTCCTGTTCTGTTCTGAAGGGCTGTGTCTGTTGTTATTGTGTTCAGCTTGTCTCCTCCGGTCCCCATGTGTATTAGGTTCAGCTGTTCTTCCCTCCTGTGTGTGATTACCTGATTACCTTGTGTGTGTATATTTAGTGGGTGTCGGTCTGTGTTCGTTGTCGGCTCGTCTGCGTTCTTCCGTGTATCTCTGCGTTCTATGGTGTTCCTGGCTCTGCCCCACACCCCTTTTGTATGGTCTCAGGTTTGTCACTTAGTTTCTCCCAGTTTAGGTTTTCGTTTGTAATTACTCATGCTTCATTGCCTGTTTTTGCCACTGCCACCTTGTAAATAAACGTCACTTGTATCATCAGTTTGCTGCATTTTGGGTCCTCCTTTTCCTCCACTCCACACGGTTCACTCTGCCAGCCGTGACACAGACACTGATAAAAATTAAATATCTTTTTTTTTGGATCATGAAGATTCCATTGCACACAGCCTTATACTTTTAACCATTAAAGAAAGACATGTTATGAAATAATTATCATGATTTCTTGGGCTTCTAATTTC